TGGCTTCCCTTTCTTATCCAGTATGAACTTTTGCCATCCTAAAGTCCAACCCCTAAACTGCTCCAAACCTTTGGGGGTTGGGGTTTAGGGTTTAGGGTTTAAGGTTGAGGGCTTAGGGTTTAAGGTTTAAGGTTTAGGGTTTAGGGTTTAGGGTTTTGGGTTTAAGGCTTAGGGTTTTGGGTTTAAGGTTTAGGGTTTAAGGTTTACGGTTTAGGGTTTAGAGACCCTTATGGTCTCATCATACCCTAAACCCTGAACCCTTATGGCCCTTGCGGTCTCATAATACCCTAAGCCCTGAGCCCTTATGGCCCTTGCGGTCTCATAATACCCCTATCCACCCTGAAGTTGGTAGGCTTTTGTTGCCAATGCTTTCCACATCAGTCTAAACCCTTAACCCTCAACCCTCAGGGTGCGTATAGTCTCATAGTACCCCTACGAACCCATAATTTGGGAGACTTGTGCAAGTGCTTTTCCACATGACCCTGACCCCTAAGTTTAATCCTAAACCCCAAGCCCTAAGCCCTGAACCCTAAACCCTGAACCCTGAACCCTAAACCTAAACCAGGAACCCTAAACCCTGAGCCCTAAACCCTAAACCCTAAACTAGCTGAGGCCGGCGGCCAAGCGGATGAGAAGAAGGGCACAACGAAGTAGGAGGCCTCTGACGGAGGGGACTTCGGAAGTTAAGAGCTTTAGAGCTTTAGAGCTTTAGAGCTTTAGGGTTTAGGGTTCAGGTTTTTTTTTTTTTTTAAGGGCCCCTTTTCGTGTCAGCAGACTGCGTCGCGACAAGCCCATGTTGGGCGGGCTAAGATAACAACCTCAGGATTACCCCTTCACTTCAGAAACACCCTGATCATGTACTCGACCTCGTTCTCAACCACGACGGGGAACAACACGACGACCTTCCGACAGGCCCTCATCATCTTCACCAACCAAGAACTCCCCGTCCAGCTGAGTCGAGCCAGCCTCCATCACCACCACCACGTCCGACCCGAGGGACTCGTTCGTCACCGGTTCCATAGCTGCAGCCACAGGACCCAAAGAAGTCACCCCACGGCTCGACGGCAACAGCGACGTAGACGGCCGGGCGAAGTGCACACCCTGGCCAGCAGCACCAGGCACGGGACGACCCTCAGCAGAGAGAGCCCCTTCCTGCTGCAAAGCGCGCTGACCTCGAAACATGTCCAGCCACATAGGTCCAAGACGCCTTTCCACTTGCTCGTCAGACCAGGTCCCCCGCATCCATGCCTCGAACCCAGACGCCAAAGCATCCGCCTCCGACGTGGACCCCATTGGCGCACCCAGACAATGCCCCTCTCGTCCACGACCTGCCAGAGGAGCAAGCACAGCTTCAGCAGGCGGTACAGGGGGCCATGTCCCCGGGCACGTGGCCAGCATAGCAAGGGCATCCCTGACCCATGCATCCATCATTGGCGATCCATGCCCCGGCAGGCATCCAGCAGCCGAAAGCACGGAGTCCAGAAGGCACCACTGGTTCACCGGCATCCGTTCACTGTAGGGCTGTAGAAGATGGCGAAGGGCGCGAGCACGACGAGCGCTGAGCTCATATACCCCGAAGGCCACCATTGAGAAACTCAATCGTGTCCAACCAGCGAAGACGAGCGTTGGCACGGGAGTGGAGGCCAGTCTGCATATACACAGACTCCTCGTCCTCTTCGCCAGCCGGGTGAGCACCCTGGTCATCGCCATGCACCTCCACTTCCACATCGATATAGCCACCAGCCACCGTCGGGTTCGCCTGCATGAGCTGACATGTTTCAATGAACAACATCGCCATCATTCGGAGCAAGCCCATCTGCATAATAGAAGCGTGCTCCTGCGAGAATCCCCGGAACATCCGAAGGCGGTCTTCGTGTCCTTCAGGAGGTAGAGCGGTGTTGCCTGCCACATCATCCGGCCCGCGAACTCCAAGGATGTGCAGCCACATGAACGTGGCATCTTCCACGGACATAGCGGGAGGCGGCGGAGTGCGGGGTTCACGGGGTCCAGGGCCACGTCCTCTAACATCGGCGGCAAGGTCACGGTGCTCAGTACTCACCACAGTCGGCTCCGATCTCCAAGGCCTGGCACCAGAATCCCGGCCACCAGTAGGCAGACCGCACGAGGCAGCTCCACCGCGACGCAGACGGTCTTCCCTCTCAGCCGGAGCACGCGGCGACCTAGAGCGGCCACGACCTGATCGGCTGCCCTCCTCATGCCAGATGCCATGGCGACCACTGCGGCGCGGGGAACGGCGAAGGTCTCGGTCACGTCCTCCACGATCCATGAGCGAACCCTCATCAGGCTCCGACTCCAGGAGGTCCGGGATGTGAGGCGCATTACTACGCCATTGTAGACGTACACGACGTGACAGTTGGAGCTTGCTGCGGGCTTCCACATAGGCAAGGCTGGCACTCCCCTGGTGCCTCTCAACATGCTGCACATACAGCTCCCACCACTCAGCTTCCATCCAGCTCGCCAATGCCTGAAGGCCCTCACCAATCCCGGGATTTGCAAAGGCCGGGATGCACCAGCCCCACTGTCGAACTAGGGTTCAGGTTTAGGATTTAGGGTTTTAGGGTGCAGGGTTTCGGGGTTCTATAGCGAGTTTTAGAGCGTTGACGGTTTTAGGGTTCCTTTGCCGGTTCCTTTGAGGCAGGTTTCCTTTCAGGATCTAAAGAGTTGCTACAAGGGTATATACTGCAAGGGTTACTATAAGGGTTCTGTACAGGTGCTGTACGGGTATCCGGGATCGGCTGTGTAACAACTTTTGGGATTCAGGCGATAGCACAGCGCTGCCGTCAAGATCAACAGGCAGCCATCAACTCCACCGTCATCGACATTACCACCAAAATCGAACCTGCGATCATCAAGTCACTTTCACCGGACCAACATCATGATACCTGCTTCGGTATAATCTTTAGGAGAACCAGTGCTGCTGACAGCATCGATGACGAGGACGAGGTACTGCAATTACAGCTCAGGTGCCGATGAAGATGCCGAGGCGGAGAAGGGCCGAGACTAGGATTGATGTCGCTTAGATGGTCCACTGGCGCAACTTAAGCACAACATACTCCCCCCCGAAAAAAATGCATAATAAAAATAATAATCAAAATAGTTATAATCATCATAATAATAATCATAAGAACAATAAAAATAATAGTAATAATAACAATAAACTACTCTAATTCTCCAAGGCCTGGGCCTGTATATTGCGGAGGATTTGAGTTTGGGGGATACGAGCCAAGTGGCTCCAACTTCCCCAAGTAACGGTGTTTGACGTTTACGACCTGTCTCATAAGCTCAGGGTTTAGGGTTTAGGCTTGTAGGGTGGTGTCGGTCTTTCGGACATGCTGATAGGTTTATATGGTGTATATGGTCTGTTACGACTCCCTGCATGCTGCACCGTACCTTCCGAACACTACAAACCACTTTCTGTCACGGCAGAAGGGCCAAATACTAGTCTGGCGGTTGTCAAACTTGCAGACACTCCTAAATTTCCGAATGCATCGCCACCAAACCCGGATCCTTAAAACAGGGTATATGAAAGGAACGCATGTATTCAGGCGCTTTCATGTATTCACGCGTGGATGTGTGCACGAAAGCATATACCCATCCATCCAGGCAGACATAGAGACAGCCAGGCAGGCAGGCACGCAGGCCAGGGCAGACATGCATGTACTGTTTGAGTTTCTTTGGTCAGATATATGCAGCACCCCAACGACCTCACCAGTAGTAGACTACATGAGCGCAACTTCTTAGACACAACACACGACCCGAAACTCTGCACACGCCCTTCAACCCCAAACCCCGAAGCCCTCAATCAAACTCCACCCCAAGGCAGCCCCACCTCTGTGGGGTCTTTCACAATGACCTCATCGGGGGCCGAAAGCAACTTGGCAAGGATCGTTGCCTGGCGCAGGGTGGCGCGAAGATGTGTTCCGGTGTTTTCTCAAATCCCGCCGCAAAGCCTGGAAGTGCTGGAACACGGACACAGGGCGATGTATGCCGGATATCCTTATTCCCGAAGACTCCATGTACCTTTGTAGTAGAGACTTAGGCCTTAAAGTACCTATATAGGGACGCCTTTAAGGCCTAAGTATCTACTTTAGAGGTACATGGAGCCTTTGGGATTTACTACGGCTGGGATGAGCGGACAGTGATGTTTCCAGTCATCCGCTACTCTGACTCCTATGGGTTCCCCAGTTAGCCTAAACCCTAAACCCTAAACCCTAAACCCTTTAGCCCTTGAAATAAGGGGAGATTCTTCCCAGGAACCTGGTCCTGCTAAAATGGGGCTTAGGGTTTAGGGGTTTAGGGCTTTAGGGTTTAGGGTTTAGGGGCTTAGGGCGTATGGTTTAGGGTTTATGGTTTAGGGTTATAGGGTTTAAAGACTGTTTCTTGCAGATCCCTTCAAAGAGGGAGCAGAACCCAACATAAGTAGCTAGACTGGGCCAGGCTGGCTTGGAACTAGATGAGGCTGCGGGTGGGCCGTTTACCACAAAGATATTCAGGAACCCGAAATATATATATATATATATATATATAGCTGTGCATATATATATATATATAGCTGTGCATATATATATACACACACTATACGTCTTTGTAGCTGTAAAAGTTCTGTAATGACACCTTGCAGGCCGATCGACAGGCTTTAGGGCTTCCGGTGTTTATCCCAAGGTGTTGAAGGTTCTTTGTCTTGGGGTTTCAAGTTCCGGAAATCAAAGATGAGGGGGGGGAATGCTTTCGACGTTGGGCCCACGCATCATATCCGTTGACATCGGAGCCTCGATGATTAGAGTAGGATTTCCCTAAGGGTCCACATATACGACTATTATGGAATTAAGTCCCCAAAACCATAATAAGAATGGTCGTTTGGGACCTAATTCCATAATGGTAGTATATGTGGACCCTCTGGATTTTGGGGTAATTATATGGGGTGATACTTATATCCACAAGGACTATAAGGTTGAATGGGGGTACTGATAGTAAGTATTCAGACCTCTCTTGTAGGACATGGGGTTCTGAAGTGGAAGCCATAAAATGCCTTGCATGCTTCAGGACAGGGGTTCAGGGTTTAGGGTTTAGAGTTTAGGGCACTTCAGAGCTGTGGCATGCAAGCCCACCCTAAACCCTAAACTCGAAAGCTCAGCAAGGCGTTCTTACCCTGGCAGTCTGGAAAGTAAACTACCCTGAAAAGAACAACCCTGAAATAGCTTAGGAAGGGTCCTTGTTTGATCACGATCCGGGAATAGCATTGTTTATAATGGCTGCTACTTGCATGAATACGGACTGCAAATAATAACTGGCTCCCGGCGTGGAGTTTGAGCTAGGCATGTGCTTTTGACAGCAGGCTCCTACAACCAAGAAGTGGTGCATATAGTTATACCTATACAACCCTTTCAGGAACTCTGAGAAGGAATCCCCCCAAACCCTATTTCTAACTAAATCCTAAACCCTAAACCCTATTTCTAACTAATCTATGTATATATATATATAATATAAATGCTACTTCCCTGAACCCTGAACCCTAAACACTAAGCCCGAACCGGAAAGCATGACTCCTGTATGCGGCTAGCCCCACCGCGGAGATGGACTGGGGCTACGTAGTGGTATTAGGGCTTTATGGAACGTTCCTCGGGTTTTAAAAGGGTTCATGGTTGTGTCAAGTTGCATAGTAGAAGCAGGGTTTTAACAAATATGACCTGGCTTTCTAAATGAGGGTCTCGCGTTTCGCACAGATTGATAGGGCTGTCTAGGGCTCTGGGGTGCGGATTTAATGCCAAATCCAAACCTACCGACGGAAGCAGGGTTTTCAGGGTTTAGATTTTTTGTGGTTTAGGGTTTTTAAGGTTTAGGGTTTATAGAGCTTTTTGGGATTAGGGTTTTTAGGGTTTAGGGCTTATAGGGTTTAGGGCTTAGGGTAGTGGCCTCAGCAGCGAAGACACGCATGCCGCCAAACATGCCCCTTAGGTCCGAGATGGGTTTGCACGCAGAGCTTCCAAATGGTTTAGGGTTTAGGGTTTAGGGTTTAGGGTTTAGGGTTTAGGGTTTAGGTTGTAGATTACCGTCTTTGCGCCGTAGACACAATGTGCCCCATCACACTATATAAGGTGCACTCACCCATTATGCTAGATAGCTGGGTGTTCAAGGCCTAGGGACCCCAAACACATGAACTCCAAACCTGAACCCATGCATGCTGCTAGGTTCGAATGATGTGCTTCACTACACGAGAACAAGGTGAAGCAGTCGTCGAAAAGATGCTCTTAGATCCGATAACAAGGACAAACACCGAAGTATCCCTAGCGGTCCATGTGCCCCAAAAGTATATATACTTTGGCCTGAAAGCCTATACAGGTACTTTGGGGGCAATGTACTTACTATTTGCATTTGGGCTCAAGGGCCCTTAGGGTATACCAACGTCTTATGTGATGGAGACTGAAGGCCTTGGTGCTGCAAGGCAGTATCCCACGAGCTTTCGGTGCTTAGGGTGTAAGGGTTTAATAGGGCGTGGAGATTGGGCCTTAAGGAGGAATGAGGGGTAGGGCTTTAGAGTTGAGGGTTTAAAGTTTAAAGGGTTCAGGGTGAAAGGCCTAGGGCTTAGGGTTTACGCTTTGTCGGGTGCAAGGTTTATAGGGCTTAACGGTTCGCGGGTTCAGGGTGTAGGGTGTCGGTGTAGCGTACAATGACACCGAATTAAGCCGAATGAACACAAACTTGTGGAATGAAGCTGACTGAATATTTGGCATTAGCCCTCGCTCACAAGCTTTGACCTAACCCCGTCAAGAAGGCAACAAAGTCCGATCCTGCATATTACTGACTCCCGATCTGCCTTCTGCTGCGTTGCACCGAGGTTCGCTACCAGCATCTTGCTCAACGCATGCTCGGACTCATGGACATCCATCGCAATCTGCAACCTCAGGAACCTCCAGCTCACTGATCTCTGAGCACCCTAAACCCTAAACCCTAAACCTGCAGAGCAGCTGCCGTTGGATTGAAAAAGGTGAAGGGCCGTACCGCCGCTAATATCCGCCTGATCCTTGCCCGCCATCATCTCCAGTATCGTCGTGATTTCTCTAGTTGTATCGCAGGAAGCCCAAGACTTGAATACACGACTATACCGCCTATACCGGCAGTCTTGAATCGGTCCGGGGCCAAGCTCCAGTTCGAAAGCTTGCTGAAGAATCTGAGGACTTAGCTATACGGGTCTGAGATCCTATGACAATCCTTACACTTCCAGTAGAGTTGAATGCTCCGCGGTCACGAAATCTGCACGCCAAAACCCTCTACTGTCAAGCCCCGTACTTGCGGCTGCGAGTAATGGGTTTAGGGTTCAGGGCTTATGTGGGTCATAAGTTCAGGTTTTCAAGGAAAAAGAGTCAAGGTCTCGAGGCCAAGGAAAACGTTTAGGCTACCTAAGCCCCTAAACCCCCACACCCCAAACCCTAGACCTTAATTCAGCTAGGGGGAGCCTGCGTACACTTTATACCCTAAGGGTCCATGTACCCAAATACTACATACTTTGGCCCCAAAGTATATTCTATAGGGACTACTGTACGGCCAACGTATATACTATTTGGGCACATGGACCCTTACGACATTCTTCCCCAAAGGTTCCTTGTAGCTATATAGTAGAATGTAGGGTTTCCATATTAGGAAGTACTATTATGGTTTAGGGAAGTATCCCCCATAACAGTACATAGGACCCTTTGGGTTCTACTTTACAAAGTTACAAAACAGCACCTCAGACACCCTAAACCCTAAACCCGAAACCCTAAACTAGACAGGAGAACCCAAGGTCGAACAACGCCGGCTCTTCTAATCGTTTGACCCATCTCCCCAAGAGCAAGAGGTTTAGGGTTTAGGGTTTAGGGGTTAGGGGTTAGGGTTTAGGGTTTAGGGTTTAGGGTTTAGGGTTTAGGGTTTACGGTTTGGGGGGTTTAGGGTTTAGGGTTTAGGGTTCACAAAGTCTCCTCGCATTAGAGGGCTTATGGTGCAAAGTGCAATCCGGCTGCAATCGTTAAAACATCCCTGCGGAACAGAAGAAGCAATGGCTGCAGCATACCTATACCTATCATGGCAAATAACTCCTTCAGCATTTAGGGTTTCGGCTGCAGAGAGAATCTGACATGAAAATCCTTAAACCCTAAAACCCTAAAACCCTAAACCCCTATACCTTAGAACCCTAAACCCTAACCCGTAGGGCGGCCACACATCAAGACCGCGGCAAGCAGGTTGGGCCCTGGTAACCGACCCCCCAAACCCCAAACCCCTAAACCCTGAAACACTAAATGACAAGGGATCCGGACCCCCCTTCGGCCCTAAACCCTCAACCCTAAACCCCAAACCCTAAACCCTAAAACCCTGAACCCTACATGACTGGGGATCCGAACCACCCCTTAGGCCCTAAACCCGAAACCCTAAACCCTAAAAAACCCAAAACCCTAAAACCCTCGAACCCCCCTTAGGCCCTAAACCCTAAACCCTAAAACCCTAAACCCTAAAAACCCTAAACCGGGGCGACTGAGGATCCGACATCCCGTGCATTTCACTGCATGGAGAAAGGCCATAGTCGCACGTGGAGGGTTGTGCCGCCGACTGACGGAGACAGGGAGCGTTTGGGATTGAGGGTTTAGGGTTTAGGGTTTACTGACGGAGACAGGGAGTGTTTAGGATTGAGGGTTTAGGGGTTTCGGGTTTAAGGTTAAGGGTTTAGGGTTTGAGGGTTTAAGGGTTTCGGGTTTAAGGGCTAAGGGCTTAAGGGTTTAGGGTTAAGGGGTTCAGGGTTTAAGGGTTTATAGGGTTTGGGGGTTACGGTTTGGGGTTTAGGGTTTAGGGTTTAGGGTTTGGGGTTTAGGGTTTCGGGTTCGGTGTTTGAGGTTTGAGGGTCTGCTGTTTCGGCAGTGAAGGCTTGAGGGCTCGAATTTCGATTTATTAGGATCCTTTCCCTCCGCTCGTCGCCTCAGTTCTTGAAAGACGTAATCCCTGTTTTGGTTTTAGGGTTTAGGGTCTAGGGGTTAGGGTTTAGGGTACCCAAATAGTAGGGTTTCATGGTCCAAAACCGCTCAGAGTATGGATTTTGGGACCTAAAGCCTTACTATTTGGGCACTCGGACCCTCTGGGAATATGCAGCGCAGCTGAGGACACACACCCCGCCTTCGACTTTAAAGTCTTTGTGTTTAGGGTTTAGGGTTTAGGGTTTAGGGTTTGGCGTTTATGGCGCCCTCAGGATTGTACCGACCCGTACCTCAAGGGGCCAAAGGAACCAATATTTAGGTACTCGGGTTTGGGATAATAGCTATGTAGTTCACTAATTTGGACAGTATGTGATGATTAGGCACCTTAGGGGTAACCTTTAGGGATTAGTGTTTAGGGTTGTTCGCGGCCAGACGACGAGGTTGAATGACTACATACTTGGTAGTGGCGCGTTGACTGCGCAGAATCAGTGGAGGCACAGTTCTTGCCTTGCCTGCCCTAAACCGGGAACTAACATGGAAACCATCTTTCCAAGGTGCTGAACTGAACTGAACTCTTGGAGATGCAGCCGCATATGCGATGTCCTTCTGCCAACCCTCATAGGCGTCCGGAACATCATGCCTACAGCCATGACGAGGGTACTGCGGCAAGGACTACATCCCATAGCTTTCGGAGCGGAGATGATCAAATTCCAGCATGTCCGTGTGCTCACGCTGGCGTCCAAGCTCTCTGCTATGAGATCTTGAGTATTTCAATAGTGTGTCAGGTTTATGGACATGATTGGGCATCTGACCCAAAGGCTCCATGTACCTTTATAGTAGATGCTTAGGCCTTAAAGGGGTTCCTGTATAGGTACTTTAAGGCCTAAGTATATACTGTATGGGCACATGGAGCCTTAGGGTGAAGCTTCAGGGCCGTATTGTGCCAGTCTGGAGAGGAGACCGATGTTCGATCTGGCACGTAAGCGCATTCAGGGCTTCAATGTATTCTCCCCGGCTCGTGTCCAAAATATGGCACTGCCGGTATTTTAAGGATCAGGCATGGGCTTAGGAAGAGATAGGGGTTTAGGGGTTAAGATTTAAAGCTTAAGGCTTAGGGGATTAGGTTTTTCTAGGCACTTGGAGATCTAAATACAGATCCCCAGCCGATCCCACAAGTCAAAATGCAAGAGCCTGCAACAAACCGCATCCAGGCTGTGATTGAATCCTCAACAAGACTAAGACTTCCTTATATAAGGCCTTAAACCTTCCCCAACCCGAGCCCTGTTAAAACAAACCAGACCCTAAACCCCAAGCCCTTCTAGGAAGGGACGAAGCCAAACCACACATACATTAACCCAAAGCCCTGCCGAAAAAACCCAACTCGCCCACTATCCCTGTACTAAATGGTTAACCTGTGGGAATATATATATATATATATATATATATTATATATATATATAGAGATTAAAAGTCAAAGATTACCTATTCTACCACTAAGACGCCAGCCTAAGCTCTAAGCCTTAAACCCTTAACCCTAAACCGTCAACCCTCAACCCTAAACCCTAAACCCCAAATTCTGAACCATAAACCCTGAGCCCAAACCCCTAAACCCTCAGCCCTAAACCCTAAGCCCTCAGCCCTAAACCCTAAGCCCTATACCCTAAGCCCTTCAGCATATACCGACTTGGCCTCGCGAATCCGGCCGTGCAGCTGCACCTTTGGACACGCGAGAGAGAGAGAGAGAGAGAGAGAGAGAGAGTCAGAGCGAAAGAGAGAGAGAGAGAGAGACTGTCTGGTGCTTAGTAGGGAATGGGCGAATGGGTTAGGGTTTAGGGTTCAGGGTTTAGGGTTTAGGGTTTAGGGTTTTGGGTTTAGGGTTTATGGTTATAGGGACTACTATAAGGGACCTTAAGGGACTATCGTAGGGATCCATTCCCCCATTCCACTAAGCACCAGACAGGAGAGAAAGAGAGACTTTGTACTCAGGGTTAGGGTTCCGGGAATAGGGATTGGGGATGGTTTAGGGTTTAGGGGTTGAGGGGTTTAGGGTTTAGGGGTTTGGGGTCCAGGGAATAGGGGTTAGGGCTTAGGGTACAGGTTAGGGTGAAGGGTTGGTTTAGGGTAGCAGCAGTACACAGTACCCTTGTATATCGGACTCATAATCCTGGGTTTTGGGTACATGTGAGTGGTATTGCTTATGAGGGCATGCGATTGTTTAGTGATTCCTCAGACCGCCTTGCACTGCTAGCTAGTACCCAAAACAGCAACGAACATTTACACTCACCGGTACAATCACCATTATTCCGCAGGAGCCCTACACGCACACACACTCTCACCGAAGCCCTAACATAAACCCTGATTCATGAAAACTCCGGACCCCTGAACCCTGAACCCTAACCCCTAAACCCCCACAGCTGCAGGTGAGCGTCCAAGATCTCTCGGTTGGCAGCACCAGGCAGGTCATAGATCTGGGCGCGACTTGCAGGCCCAGGGGCATAGTTGGTGGTTATACCCTAAACCCTAAACTCTAAACCAATATAGGATTGCAGAACTTTCGGTTTTGGGTTAAGGTTGCAAGGGTCTAAACCCTAAACCCTAAACCCTAAAGGCTTAAGGGAGTGAGCCGGGCTCTGGGTTCTATAGTGCTTTAGGGGTTGATGTTGTAGGTCTTAAGTTGCAAGCCTAAGCCCTTGAAACCAAGATTCCGTTATCCTCTTGGTCAACTTCTCATAAAAAGGGGCCGAACTTCGATTCGAAACTTGTTCCGTTGTATAAGGAATCTCTTCCCGTGCTTTGGTGCTTTTGGGTCTGTTTCAGGGTGTGGGCAATCAAGGGCTTGGGCTTTGGGCCTAAGGATTGCAGGGTTTGAAGTGGCTGAATTATACTTATAATAAGGAAACCCCGAAATAGTATAGGTAATCATGAAAGCCCCTATATTAGTCCGCGGTTTGGGTTTACTGCGCCGGAGACTCCTGCGGGTTATCCGACTATATGTCGGCAGATGCAAGGATGCGCTGAGGAACCACAAGATTTCAAAGAGACCCTAAGCCCTAGCGGGCCTTGGGTGTAAGGTTTAGGTGATACTTTGCCAGCTTGACAGGGACGCAAAGGGTCCCATAGGGATTTAGGTTTTAGGGTTCAGGGTTCAGGCTTTAGGGTTTAGGTTTTTCTTTTAATAGCGGTTTGCAGTGTTGCATATGGGTTCTTGGGTCATTGGACTAGCCAGAAGGTTATAGCAAGGTTTTTCATACCCTCAATGGGGATACCATGCTTATCCACAGGCCCTTTGAGAGACCCGAAAAACGACATGAAACGTAACTCCAAAATTAAGCGTTTAGGTCCTAAACTTTCGGCACAATTACATACAAACCCGCAGCATTCTGCAGCGGCATGCTTACACACGCCTTGCAAAATCGTTATGACACTGACTAATTACATGCATTTAAGCCTGTTTCTGCCAAATGCGCTTTGCCAAGGCATGTTGCATGACTTGCCAATGACACGGAGGGGGTGGTTTTTCGAAAAGATGCAGTCGCAACAGAAACCTGCGACATTAATTATTGAGGAGCGAACAGCTATGTCAAAACAAAGCTCCACTTGAACGAACAGGTTAATCAGCAACAACAGCCGCAACATACAGCAGCAGTGGCAGCAGCTGCAGCAACAACAACACTCACGACAACCCTGCTGCTGCTGCTGCTGCTGCTGCTGCTGCTGCTGCTCCTGCTCCTGCTGCTGCCGCTGCTACTACCACTTCGACGACGAGCACGACGGCAACAACAACTACTGCAACAGCTGCTACATGGGTATTGCGATTGAAATGTTGATTTCTTGCCCAGAGGGTCCGAGTGCCCAAATGGTAAGGTTCTAGGTCCCAAAAACCAAACTCTGAACGGTTTTGTGACCATGAAACCCTACTATCTGGTTACTTGGACTCTTAGGGTTGCAATTCATATGGCTACCCTGCGAAATCAAGGCCCGCACGTAGAACCTCAGATCACTGCGAGGCCCACGGAAATCATCCGGGTGCACCTGTGCAGAGCGGCTCCATATGGGAGTCTACGGCAGTCTACGGATCCTACTTGCTGTCTGGGGTTCGTTGGTGGGGTTCCTTATTGTCTACAAAACTATCTATCACACAAGGGATTTGCGTGGCTGCTATAGGGTCCGATAAACTAGGGCTTGAACTCAGGATGTAGGGCTTGAGGTTATTTATAGGGGCTGATTAGTATGGGGGCTATACTGACTAGAATAGGGTGTCAGAGTATATTATGCCATGGTATGTATCGTACGAGCTGCAGGGTTGCCATCCGAGTCCATGCACTTTGATAGGCGTGCTTTGGGTACACAAAAAACCAGTGTGAGTAGAGTATGGTCGCAACATGTAAGTTAAGGTTTGGGCATCTGCAATATTATAAATATGATGGTATAAGGGCTATTAGGGTCTCCCACCGGGTCCGAGTGCCCAAATAGTAATTTTTTGGTCCCAAAATCCATACTCTGAGCGGTTTTTGGACCATGAAACCCTACAGTACTATTTGGGTACTCTAAACCCTAAACCCTAAACCATATACCCCAAAGCCGAAGACCCTACACCGAAAATCCTGAACCTTCAACTAGGGTTTAGGGTTTAGGGTTTAGGGTTTTATGGGTTTAGGGTTTAGGGGTTTAGGGTTTAGGAACCCTCTGATCAACCCTTAACCTCAAACCCTGGATTGGGGGCCCATGCTTTGGAGTTGGCGTGTGCGCTTTGGGACTTAGCTTGGTATTTAGGGTTTAATGAAAACTTGGGCCATTCGGGCTTCAAGCCTTCAAGTGCGGTTTAGGGTTTTCTACAAACACACCTACTTGATAAGTACATCCCTAAATCATCCAAGTAAATAGGTTGACAAGCTGATTCAGCACGTCTAACCTTAAACCCTTAACCGTAAAGCAAGCCCTAAACCGTAAACCGCAAACCAAAACCCTAAACCCCAAACCAAAACCCTAAACCCCAAACCAAAACCCTAAAAAAAGAAAACGATGCTGGCACCTGTACATGAACGCCAAGAGGACCGCGCCCCTTCGCCTGCGGATTGCCGTCTGTGCGTAGGACCGACACACGTCAAACGAGACCTCTAGACTCTTTTAGGGTTTAGGGTTTAGGGAAGTTTAGGGTTTAGGGCCGACACACGTCAAACAAGACCACTAGACTCTACACCGAAGCCGAACAAAAACCCTGTAGACACCAACAGCATGCTCAAAAACCGCACACCCCAACACCCAAATTTTTGATTTTCAAGCTCAAGTTAGTACTGCCGCCGCACAGTAGCAGTGACTGACAACCGACACCACAAAAAACAAATACCCAATAAAACCTAGCAGGAAGAGATGAGGCCGTGCGCAGAAGCAACCCCTAAACCCTACAACCCTCAACCCACTTATCAATTAGCACACTTCGCAGCAGATCTGAACCTGGAAATCTCCCCTTTGCCTACAACCTCTTGTCTTCGCCTCCCGCCGATCGTTGGGGCCTTCGGCTTTGGGGTATATTCTACAAATAAACCTGAAACACTAAGCACTAAAACCTAAACCCTAAATAAATAGACATAGCAAGGAATTCTAAGAGGTAGGAATTATGACCAGTTGCTCTAGCCTCCACACTAGGGGATGTACGGGTCTGCGGGTTGCCAAGGCTGGAGGAGTGGCGGTTCTTGCAGTTTCTCTGGGCCTCGACACCCTGAACCCTAAACCCAAAGCCCAAACCCTAAACCCCAAACCCTCAACCCCAAGCCCCAAACTCTAAACCCCAAACCCTAAACCCTAACTCCAAAACCTAAACCCTGAAACCTAAACCCTAAACCTAAACCCTAAACCCCTAAACACCCTGAGCCCTAAACCCCAAACCCCCCGTCTCCTAAACTCCAAAATCCCTATATACCTTATCCTTCCCAAGACCTACTTTTTCGTATGGCCCTTACACAAATTCCAGAAATTAGGGCTTCATGAAGAACCTGCAAAAGAAGTAGGTTTTTGTAGGTGAAGGTAGAGCTTGAAACCCCGACACCCCCAATGGGGTTTAGGGCTTTGGGTTTAGGGTTTCGCCTAAACCAGGCTCGGCGGGCCGGGCACCTAAGACGAGGATCTTGCCCCCGTTTCCCAAATAGGGTTTAGGGTTTAGGGTTTAGGGTTTAGGAGTTAGGGTTTAGGGTTTAGGGTTTAGGGCTTCAGCTTGGATGGTTCACAGACGTCTTGCATAACATCCTGAGCCCCTGGAAGCCCTCAAACCGAAACCCCGAAAATCCCCCCAAAACCCTAAACCCTAAGCGCAAAACCCAACACCAAACCCTAAACCCCAAACCAAAACCCACAACCCTAAACCCAAAACCCTAAACCCCAAGCATTTTCGGGCCGTGAGCCCCCGAAACCCAAGAATCCCCGAATGAGCCTTCCCCTTCCAAGCATATGGGTGCGCGAGCTTCCCGAAAATCTGATCCTGAGGCAGCTGTTAGGTTTAGGGTTTAGGGTTTAGGGTTTAGGGTTTAGGGTTTACAGTTTAAAGTTTAAGGTTTAGGGTTTAGGGTTTAGGGTTTCAGCTGCTAGGCCCCTAAACCTTAAACCCTAAACCCTAAAACCCTAAACCTCAAACCCGAAACTCCGTAAACTCCGTAAACCCTAAACCCTAAAACCCTAAACCTCAAACCCTAAACTCCTTAAACCCAAAACCCAAAAACCCTAAAGCCCTAAACCCTAAACCCTAAAACCCTAAAACCCTAAACCCTAAAACCCTTAAACCCTAAACCCTAAACCCTAAAACCCTAAACCCTAAAACCCTTAAACCATGAACC